AAAAAGTCAGAAAAGTGGGGCGTGTCCAGCTCTGTTTAGGGGGGAGTTAGGAGGAAGAAAAAGAGGCATGGTGTGGGAGTGTTTATTTGGGCACGCGCGAGTTTCAGAGTCAAAATAAACACACAGGAGAAAGTGATGGTGTTTAACCTACATGGACATGTGTAGTCGAATTATTTGCCAAATTATTAAATGGTGGACTTTAACTGCAGTTTGGCTCTTTCATTCAGGGAATTCATTCATGTCCCTCACGACAAACGAGATATTTGATTCGAGGATCTGCTCTAAGCGTGTATTTTTCATGCAATGTTTGATACCGCACGGCGAATGAGAGAAAAAAAACCTCCGCACTAAATGCGGTGAAAATCCTACACGAGGTTAAAGTTTGGTTGTTGTGCTAACATGTTTACACTCGGTGTAATAGTTTGTTTTGATACAAACGAACTGAATGAACAAAGAGCACTGGTCGCTCACTTACCAAATCTGTAGAGACAGGACAATCACCAGCAACTAGAGCCGCGTCTTTATTAAGAGGAGACTAAAGCGAATCCGGATCTCAGCGTTTGCAGATGAGAACAGCTCTCAGGTAAACAATAATCCTCCTTAGACACGTAAGTTATTGTTGTCGAGCGTCGCGTACACTGTTAATCCACACGTGACTCCAGCTGCGCTCTCACAGAGAGAAAATGAAAACAAAACTTCACTGCAGCAAACTATAAAAGCAACACTTCACGCTTGTTTTGCCAACACAACGTGGCGTCTCTGCCGTCTAAACACTGTGCCAGTAATGAATATTAATGAAGTTGCACAATAGAGCGTGCTGATTGGTTTGAACCAAGCCTTACTCATGCATTAATGCAGCACACTGTAAGACGTAATAAGACACACTCTGGCACAGATGTCCAGTCTACACGCTGGAATACACGCTATTATGTCATGACCGTTGCATTTGGATCCTATTTTGACTCTTATTTTTGTTGAACGTGACAATTATGTCATGGCCGTGACGCAGCTTCAAAAATTTGTTTCAAACCGGAAGTACGAATTTGCTTGAAATAACGCAAAAACAACCAATTTACACTTGTTAGTGAGATATCTGTGTCCTAATAGTGTTTTTAGCAGTGTGGGACACATATACCCCTGTCAACAGCTCAACACATGTGTTTTGGTGTTTCGTGACCCTTTAAGCTTTGCTTTAAACAGTGAATATCATTGCATATGTATGGACCCTCATTACATTTACGGGTTTCTCAGTAGCATAAGTCGTCATAGTTAGTAAACTTAGAGCACAGTGAATAGGAGAGAACAACAAATAATTTTTGCCGAAATAATAACAGAAAAAACTCCACGATGGTGTTATCAAGACTTTCAGAAGAAAAGCTTTTTAATAAATTAATATAGCTTGAATTAAATTGTTTATTTAAAGGAAATTCTTTTTTTTTTTTTTTAAATCAATCCCATTCAGTTAGAAAAAAAAATTAAATATATATTTTTAGCATTTTTAAAACAATCTTACATTTTTATTAATATAATGTAGGGATGTAACAATATTGTAAATACCGTCATACCGCAATAGTAATTGTTTTCAATATTACCGTAGGCGCATGACTCAATAAAACTATATTTCTGAGAAAAGTTTGCTCAGGCGAATGAAGTGAACGGGAGATAGCGGGTACTACAATTCCCTTCAGCCCAGGCGTGGCCATCATCCTTTGCGGTCTGCTGTCGCTACAGATCCAGTAATGCAGAAATGGAGTGTGCTGCAGGGAAGAACAAGAGCTGGAGATGATCGAACCTAAAGCGGGTTTTAAATCGGATGTGTGGAAGCATTTCGGTTTCATTCTAAAAAGATACGAAAAAGGAGAAAAGGTTACAGACAGAAAAAAACAGTATGCAGGCACTGCCAGACTGAGGTGAAATATAAGTCGGGGAATACGTCTAATAACAGTCATGGGGACTGCAGAACACAGCACACTTGTTAGATTGATGCAGACATTGACTTGTACCGTAAAGAGACCTCTATCTCACTCATGGTTTGTCCTCTCAAGTGGTGGAAAGACAATGCAGACCGTTACCCACTGCTGTCAACCTTGGCTAAATCATATCTCTCTGTCTCAGAAACCTCAGTCCCAAATGAGAGGGGTTTATGTTCTGTTGCAGGGGACATGCCCAGAGACCCCAGCTTTGACCAGATTATAGTTATATGATCATTTTCCTTAAAAAACCCATCTCTATCTGAGTGAGTGAGTGATTAAATGTTGAATGTGATGAGTTTTCAACAAAACTAAATTGAAACTTTATTTTTTTTATATGGTTTTATAGTTTTTTGTTATTAAAATTGAAAAATTGAAGTTCCTGTGTGGAAGCTTACAGATAGACGGCTGATTTGTGTCATTGATATGTTCAGTGCTAAAGTAAATAAACACTTTTGGCACTTTTTTCGAGTCTTTTCATTAGTTTTGTTTTTCCTGTAAATTATTCAATAAACTTTACCGTTACATTCATACCGAGGTATAATCATACCGTGAAATTCTGATACCGTTACATCCCTACATGTGTAACTGATGCACCAACCCCCTGAACCAATTCTGCTAAACTACAAGCACAATTCCTGCTTTACACTCAAATTGCAGATTTAAATCACTTTTTTCAAAACACAACACACAATTCTCTGCATTTTACACAGTTTTCATGCGGAAAATCTCTTGTTTTCACAAGGAACACACTGTCATTCACAATTGTAAAGTCAGTTGTCCTACTCAGCATACTAACTCATCACATGAGTAAACACCTGTCACACAGAGATGTAATTTAGAAATCAGAGCTCATCTGGTTCGTAACTGGTTCACTGCCCACACATGTTTTTAGTGGTTTATCTCCCTCCATATTCTCCATTCCTCAAACCTGTTGAAGATTTTTTTTTTCTGCCTGGAGATGTAAAGTGTGTGACCGAAATCCACACACACACACACACACACACACACACACACACACACACACACACACACACACACATGTATACCCTTCTCCAAGCTATAGCAGTTGATGCTTCTCATGGCTGGATTCGCCATGCAAGGTGACGATTACCTTGCTACTTGGCCAGACCAAAACAGAAAAGAGGATGCAGTATAGCTGCTTTTATTTTATTGTATTTCTTGACTGTAACTGTATTCAGTAAATACTTCTGTTGAAGGTATGTGGACCATGTTATGTGCAACTTTGTGTTGGTTGGGATGAACACTGTGTACACAG